GGATGTGCCAGGCCTAGGTTAAATTAGGAAATAGGCTTGACCATTGTGTTCCTGGTCCTTTCAGCAGCTTTGCTGCAATTTTGGCTCAGGGGCCTCAAACATAGCTGTGAGATTGAGTTAGAGGTATAACAGTACCTTATAATGTGCCAGGTTATGAGGTAATTAATTAGGTTGGTTGGCTCCAGAGTTAACCTGCCAGCAATAGATGTTATAGATGTTACTCTTATATTTTAAAGCATTATGAAATCAGATTGCTTTAAAATGATGTATCACAAAGTCATGGAAAAAAGCAATTGTGAGTATGGAAGCCCAGGGCTTAAGTCCAGCTGTCTTATACTAAATATGGGAACAGTGTTTCCATTCTTGCCTGTGAAATGGAGCTCATATCCTCTAGTATGTCTGCCTCACATGGTGGTTAAAATGACTGAGCAAAATAATAGTTTGTAATTTATAATTCTATATAAATAAAACAGGTTATTTTTAAAAGCATAGAGAATTTCAAGAAATGGAGAAAAATGTCATAGCGGTTTAAAAACACAAATTATTACCTTATAGTTCTAGAGATCAGATGAAAAGTTCAAAATGTGCTAAAATAGAACTAAAAGTCCAGGTGTCAGAAGAGTGTCGCCATCTCTTCTGGAGGCTCTAGAAGAGATCTGTTTCCTTGACTTTCCCAGTTTGTAGAGGCCACTGCATTCCTTGGCTCATGGCTCTTCTTCCTTCAAAGCCAGCCACATACCATCTCTAAATCTGATTCTGGACCCTCTTCCATCTTTTAAAGACTCCTATGATTATATTTGACTTTTTGTATAATATAGTACCCTCTCCCTATCTTAAAATTCTTAACATAATCACATCCCATGTAATATAACATGTTCATAGGTTCCACAGATTAGAACATGGACATCTTTAGGTGCCATTATCCAGCTTACCACACCCATCCTCCACCACTTTGTTTTTAGAGATGGGTCTCACTCTGTGCCTAGGCTGTAGTGTAGTGAGATGATCATAGCTCACTGTGGCCTCGAACTCCTGGGCTCAAGAGATCCTCTCACCTCAGCCTCCCTAGTACCTAGGACTACAGGTATGTCCACCATGCCCAGCTAATTTTTATTCTAATTTTCCATATGATGCATTGGTGTTATTATTATTAGATGGCATTGTGTTGGTCTTCTATTATCCTCTGAGCGTTGGTTCTCAATTTTATACGTTACCGCGAGATCACCTCAAATACGATACCAATATGGTCCACACCCAAGACCACTAACTAACCTCACCAGACTGCTTCTTATTTATCGCCCCTGCTGATGTTATATTGTGGGATTGACGTAAAGTATCTATGAGTCCCAACCTATTGCCCTTGAGCTTATGTATATAATAGAGTTCGCCACGATTAGTGAACAATATTGAACATTTATTAATCTATTAATTGAAAAAGATAATCTAATTCACTTAACATGCATAATCATGTAAATAATCAAGTCAGCAACGTAAGTATACTAAAGTATGTCATCCTCATACCAATTTGCAGATACTACAGCCTCTGGTTGAGTTGGAGGCGATCTAGAAGTATTGAGCACACACGCCTTTTTTCCACCTGACTCCCTCAGTTCCAAGATGAGGCTATTTTACTAAAATACCCATCAGTAATGTTGGAGGTATGATAATTATTGAAAGGTCATTAATTTGTTTAAATAACTTTGATGACCGGGATCTACAAATTTCGTTTTCAAGGTCTCTGAATCATACCTAGACGATCTGAATTGTACCTCTACCAAACCATGATAGTATTGATTTTCAGAATGATTACTAATAGACTGCACTGTGGCAGTAACCTAAGTACCACTAAATAGAACCTTCACATGGCTCTTAGTTGATGACAGTATATGTATCTTGTTATAGCTGCTCTACTGCTATCGGAAGATGTTATCGTACCAGTTTCCATGGAATTTTCATGATACGGTCATGTTAACCTAATCCACCCCCCAGTGATGAGGTATTACGTAGGATACACTACATCTCAGGTATATGCTTGACACTATTTGTCTGGATGCCTTGGTGCCCTTATATAACAGGCACCTACCGCTAGACTAGAAAGACTAGAAGTCAGATCTGGATGGAACTCATGCCTCTATATCTCGTGTAGCCACTGCGTCGCTGTGTGATTCGTGAGAATCTTTAGAGAATTCTAATATGCAGGACAAGTTTGGTAGCCACTGCCTCAGAGTCTATTGTGATTGATTTGGTTTCACACTCACAAAATATGTGGTAACTTAGACTTTTTTCCTTGTAAAGTGTTGGCTTACCAGGTAAGGGACTGATAGATGACCATATGACGGTCCAGATATTCAGATTACAATACCTGGCCCTCGTTTCTTCATCTGTAAAATGAGGATAACCAATCTAGACTAGAAATATTTTAACATTTTATAAATATAAATACATGTATTCCCATATCTTTGTTACCTTTCGCATTACCTTCCATGTCTTCACTTCACACTAACTCTCATCCTATCCTTCTCGTAACCAGTGTTCCATTGGTTTTCCATTACCTTTATCTACACTGCAAACCTGCCAGCAATAGATGTTATAGATGTTACTCTTATATTTTAAAGCATTATGAAATCAGATTGCTTTAAAATGATGTATCACAAAGTCATGGGAAAAAAGCAATTGTGAGTATGGAAGCCCAGGGCTTAAGTCCCAGCTGTCTTATACTAAATATGGGAACAGTGTTTCCATTCTTGCCTGTGAAATGGAGCTCATATCCTCTAGTATGTCTGCCTCACATGGTGGTTAAAATGACTGAGCAAAATAATAGTTTGTAATTTATAATTCTATATAAATAAAACAGGTTATTTTTTAAAAGCATAGAGAATTTCAAGAAATGGAGAAAAATGTCATAGCGGTTTAAAAGAACACAAATTTATTACCTTATAGTTCTAGAGATCAGATGAAAAGTTCAAAATGTGCTAAAATAGAACTAAAAGTCCAGGTGTCAGAAGAGTGTCGCCATCTCTTCTGGAGGCTCTAGAAGAGAATCTGTTTCCTTGACTTTCCCAGTTTGTAGAGGCCACCTGCATTCCTTGGCTCATGGCCTCTTCTTCCTTCAAAGCCAGCCACATACCATCTCTAAATCTGATTCTGGACCCTCTTCCATCTTTTAAGGACTCCTATGATTATATTTGACTTATTTGTATAATATAGTACCCTCTCCCTATCTTAAAATTCTTAACATAATCACATCCCATGTAATATAACATGTTCATAGGTTCCACAGATTAGAACATGGACATCTTTAGGGTGCCATTATCCAGCTTACCACACCCATCCTCCACCACTTTTGTTTTTAGAGATGGGGTCTCACTCTGTTGCCTAGGCTGTAGTGTAGTGAGATGATCATAGCTCACTGTGGCCTCGAACTCCTGGGCTCAAGAGATCCTCTCACCTCAGCCTCCCTAGTACCTAGGACTACAGGTATGTGCCACCATGCCCAGCTAATTTTTATTCTAATTTTCCATAGAGATGGGGTATTGCTATGTTACCCAGGCTGGTCTCAAACTCCCAACCTCAAACAATCCCCACTCAACCTCTGAAAGTATTGAGATTACAGATATGAGCCACCATGCCCTGGCTATTTTCCCCTTAAAAAAATAAATTATTAACACATATACAGCTTAACATACAAAAGCAGACATCCTCTGGTTGAGTTTGGAGGGGATCTAGAGCCCCTTCACTCTCCAAGGCAACAACCACAGTTGGGATAATAATTAGTGGACAATCGTAAGGCCTCCTCCTACACTGATGTTCTACAAACCTAGAATTCTCTCTGCTACCTTAGAATTCAAGCTATACAACTGTCTGCTCTTCCTATACATGTCTGTCATCCCCCAGGAGGATACACTACAATCATCAAATATACTGGTGCCTTTATCCCACTACTAGAAATTATAATTTGATCTGAGAATATGGTCTGGGCTTTGGAATCTTTAAAGATTCTAATATGCAGACAAGTTTGGTAGCCACTGCCTCAGAGTTATTGTGAGGATTGGTTTCACACTCACAAAATATGTGGTAACTTACTTTTTTCCTTGTAAGTGTTGGCTTACCAGGAAGGGAGCTGATAGATGACAGTATGAGGTCCAGGACTACTCAGATTAAAGTTTTACCTGGGCCTCAGTTTCTTCATCTGTAAAATGAGGATAACCATATCTAGACTAAAATATTTTATACATGTTTTATAAACTATAAAATACAACCCATATCTTTTGTACATACATTCACTCTCCATCTTCACTTCACACACACTCCATTCCCCACTGTCTTCTGTAACAGGGCCCAGGGTTGGTTTCCATTACCTTTATCAGCACTGCAGTAAGTGAGAGTAGTAGGAGGTGGGGCAAGCCTAGAGGCCCTTCCTCACAAAGAGGGAGGACTGGGCCTGACCACCCCAGGAGAAGTCCAGAGATACAAAGAAGTAACTCCTAGGTCCCAATGCCAAGCAAGTCCAGGGGTATCACATGGTCAATATGGGGCCCATATCCACACTAGAAAAGTTGGCCTGGAGCTATAGAAAGGGCATAGGCTATTAAGTCAGACAACCCTGTTACCTTAGGCCAGGGGTCCTCAAACTTTTTAAACAGGGGGCCAGTTCACTGTCCCTCAGACCGCTGGAGGGCCGTTGGAGAGTGCCGCATACATTCCACACATGCGCACTGTGGGCCCTGGACAAGTCGGCTGCTAAGCAGGACAGGCAGTGGCAGCAAAAACACCCACAGGCCACATGTGGCCCTCGGGCTGTAGTTTGAGGACGTCTGCCTTAGGCTGCTGTTCTACTTTTCTGGGCCCATTCTCTACTGCATATAATGGGGATAGTCATATCCCGCCTACACACAGAACTGAAATAAGAATAAGGATGGGAAGGTGGTCCATAGAGTAGAAACCTCAGCAAAATATCTTACAGCCACCTACCCATATCATAAAGAAAGACTGAGTCACAGTGAAGTCTTCCTAAATTTTATTGGCACGGAAATAGAATATGGGTTGAGCATAAATCCCTCCAAAAACAATTTTTAAAAAACCCAAAAAATACACACAAAAAAAAACACCTGAATACAAAATCTAACCTTTCTCCCCAGCCTCCCTGGGGGTGGGTTACTGCCCTTAAGGCAGCTCGATTGCCCCATAATTCCAGGTTTGAATTTAGACTATATAGGGTATATTACCAAGTGAGTATCAATATAATTCACAGCAATGCACACAAGACTCCCCAAGGTAAGGCATAGAGGGGTGGGGTGGGGAAGGGGATCGAGGGAGGCTCTGGGCTAAGGGCACTGCGTGGAGGGATAGGATGGCCCCTTGGGGACTGAACCCTGGGGAGAAGGCAAACAGGAACAATAAAACCAAATACCAAGTACTTTAAGAATGGATTGTATGACCTATAGTGACAGATGACATCACTAATACTGAAAGTCCCTTACATTAATATTTTTGGTAAAATATCCTTTTGTAATATAGTATATGCATCCCAGGTGTGGGGGTGGTAAAGGAACGAGGCCAAAATGGTCCTGCCCCAAGACTAATATCTTCTAATGGTGCATTAGCAAGAAAGGCAGAAATCAATATTGAGTTAGATATTACTAGAATATATAATACTGGTAGAAAGAAAAAGAGCACACATGAGTCAGAGAGGAGGAGGGGGCTGCTTCTAGGTTGAGAGTAAGGCATGGGGGTGTGGAAAGGACCAGGCCAGAATCCCCAGCAGCTTTCTGGTTTACAGCTCCAAGGGACAGTACAACTGGCAGCAAGACCTGGGTTAGAGGTTTGTCAAACAGAGGCAGGGCCCAGTCATCTCCTTGGAGGGAGGTGACAGGAAGGGTGTATTGGGCACCTGAGAGGGTTGAGTAAACTGTGGGATTAGGGGAATATGCTTCCCTCAGCTTTTCCCCCCCTACTTCCCAGTTGAGCCTACTGGCATCAAGTTCTAGGGCTCACCATACCAAGGCCCAGATGGCTGTGAAGCAGGAACTGTGGCCCAAGTAGCTCTGATGGAGGAAGTGACCTAAAACCCCTGGCAGGGAAAATACTGAAGCCAGGTGTGAACATTTACTCTTTTTTGGCAAAAGTCCTGATAGGGCTAGTTCAGCTTTTGGGTATTTGTTCCTACTATTCTAGCTGAAGGGAATTTGGGGATTGGAGTGGGAGGGACAGAACCCAACAAGGGACCAGGGACCTGGAATAATAATGAAGGGGCACCTCTGCCCATAGAGCTCACTTGAGACAGGCTTGGGCTCCCATAAGGCATTGGGGCAGATCTTCTACTCAGCCTTGCTGAAATTAGAGAAGGGCCAATAGCCTTCTAGGATGTTGGTGAAGCCTCTTGAAGTCATTGTCTCCCCCATCCCACCCTGGGGAAAAACTGAGTCCCTAAACTCAGGGACAAGGCTTATCGGGACAGGCCCAATCTGGGAGGTAGAAACAAGAATGACTAAACATCTCTTTATCCTCCAATCATTGCAAAGCCTAAATAACTCTAAAAGGGATGGGCACTGGGAGGCCAAATCCTAGGTCAGTTGGCATCCTAAAGCAGATTGCCAGGGCCCTGCCTCTTTCTCTAAACCCTGTGATACTCCAACCCTGCAAATCACAGGACCCTGAAGAGGAAGGCAGTGGTGGGGCAGGGGTTGGGGCTAGTTTTCAACCTATTCCACACTTGACTCCCAGAGAACAACAGTAAGTGTGGAGGTATTTGCCATACCAAGTACGAAGTGCCTCTGAGCTGGGGAAGTGGTATGTTCTAGCAAGACAGATGAAATGAGACAGAGAGGGGAAAGGAGGTCCCATTGGCACCATAGTGGGCCACTTACTTCCCAGGGAAGTAAGAGCAAGGTTTGGTCTCCTAGCTGCACTGAATGCTTGGCATAACTCCAGGGCTGCTCTAGTTAGTGGCTCCAGCACAGTGTGAGTTAGGCAAGGGTGTAGGAGTATGGGGGAAAGGAAGAAGGGAACAGGGGTCCCTAGAGGCTGAGTGCCCATTACATGGACTCAAACTCATCAATGCGCTGCTTGGTATTACCCTGCCGGATTTGGCGCAGGGTCTTGTATTTATCTCGGCCCAGTCGCATGTTCTCAGCATGAATCATGTCATTGGCGGTCTTCTTGGACTCATCTCGAGCATTAGCCAGCTCTGAAGTGAGGGCCTGTGACGGTACAAGGGGAAGGTTTCCTCTCATTTTATCTGTCATCATTTGACCAGATTTCTCTTCTCTTCTGTTTCTTCTCTCTCTCTCTCTAACCCCCTCCCCCCATATATATGGCAAGAGAGGGAGTCATTTCCAGGCCTTTTAGGACTGTAGTGGGGCAACAATTTTTTAAAAAAATCCACAAACTTAGGGGACCAATTGATAATGGGTATCCTCTGAGAGTAGAACAATGTGCCAAAGATTAACATAGGAATTTTATCAGCTAGATATTTTCTTAATGGAAGGGGTGAATGGAGTTGAGGTGGGAGGTAGGGCATAAAGTAAATCAAAAAGGGAATAGGTGGCCCAGGGTCTGATTAATAAGTGAGAGGTACCTACTCTTAAAGCTGTCACTTGAGAAAGGCTCAGGCTCCCATACAGCACTGGGACCTATCTTATACCTATCTCCCATAATGGTCTAGGGAAGGCCATGGGCTATTAAGTCAACACCCTGCCTGGATACCTTCAGGTGCTTCTGCACACGCTCATTCTTCTCTGCCTCAGTGGTCCGTTCCTCCTCACTGCGGTCCTTGGCCATAGCATCAGCCCGCAGGTCAGCACTGGCCTCTGCCCCATTCTCATCCTGCTCGTCCTGTTCATTCTCGGCAGGCTCTGCCACATGAGGTGTGGTCATGGCAGTCTTCAGCTCAGCACGGGTCTTCTCCAAGTCTTCTTGTACCATCTGGGCCTATCCAATGACAGAAGGAGAGAAGGACCTTCAATCAGACCAGTTAACCTATGGCATCCTGTGCAAGCCTAGGATGGTCTGGCAGGTGGCAGGTACCAGGTAGGACAACTCACTTCATCTGCCTGATTCTTAGTTTCCTCAGCTGTAAAACAGGAGAATTGTATTTACTTCCTAGGAGTATTGGGGAATTTTGGGAAGTATTTAAGGAAGCCTTGAATGTCTTCTCCCACAATGCCCGCTCGTCAAGGAAGGATGGAAAGGGGAAGGAGCCCAAACCTAAAGAATCTACACATGTGGCACCCATTCCCTCAGTGCTTTGCTCTAGGCATTGTGGCTTACCTTCTGCTGCCACTCCACAGCCTCACTCTCCTTCTTCTGTCGGGCCATCTCCAGCTGGGAGATTCGAGCTGTCAGCTCTGCCATTTCCAAGGCCTATGGATAAATTAGAAGCCTGTGAGAGTTGAGTTTCTAGTCCTCAGGGCCCAGGTGTCTTTAATCACAGTTCCTCCAAGAAACTAGGAAGAACCTGCTGCTCTGCCTGCTTGCTGCCTTGGAGACTCTTTTTATAGACCACTCCACTCCAGTCCCATCTTCCCCATCAGCTACTTCCTTAAAAGTCAGAGCTCCCTACCTAGACTGTAGGCCTCCTGAACACAAGCAACCTGTCATCTCTCTCCTTTCCTCATATCTACCCCCATCCTCCTCTCAGTATTGCCAAGTATTCAGTTGGGGCCTCAGTAAAGCTTTGGAGATTACTGAGTCAGTTCCTGAAGTAGCAGACCCTTTCCTGCTATCCTAGAACACTTATGGCTCCACTAAGACACTTCCCAGGACAAGTATAGGAAAGACACTCAAGAGCCACAAGGTGATCTGAACAAGGGAAAAAAGCTTATACATACCTACGCACCTTGGACAAATCTCCAATGACAGGTTTCCCCTGAGAGATAGGCCTTAGTTCCCTCTACTCCTCCCTCAAAAAGTATAGGGGAAGACCATATGCCAAGGCATTTCTTATCTTCTGAGTCACAAAAACCTTGGAAATTGTGATCAGAGTATGGGTATCTACCCCACCCCCACCCAAAGGCACACACAGTTTTACATGTGATTTCAGGGAGCAAACCCTTCAAATGGAGGCAGAAATAGGTTCTAATCCTTACTCAGCTACCACTGTGTGACCTTCGGCAAGTCCCTTAATCTCCCTGAGTCCTAATTTCTTTTCTGGGAATATTATTCCATATGGGGTTAATCCCATGGGGTCACTAAGAAGAGGAAATAAAGAAGTAAGGAAATGGGAGACATTGCTAACATAGCTACAGTAGGAACTCAATTAAGTGTGAGTCCTTTCTTTTCTCCTTCCCTTTCCTTTGCCAGGTCATCAGCTCAGATCCCCAAGGGTTAAGAAAGTAAATAAAAACTAAGAGTTAGGGGAGACTGCAAAACTTTCTGGGCAGAAATGTGACTTCTCTCAGCTTGCTTCTGAATGAGCAAGCTATCTGCTAAAGGCCTGTAGAGTGGTAGCCTGCTGGAAACAGCCAGCCCTGTAGGAAGAGGTAGCTATATAAATAGGTAGGCAGAGAAGGGAGAGAACTTAGGTCCCACAATCTCAGCCCATCCCCAGCTTTACCAGCTGTTCCTGGGTCTTCTTCTGGTCCCGGGACGCCTGCAGCAAGGCCTGCTTGGCCTCTTCGGCTTCTTGACGCTCCTTGGCCAACTTTTCAGCCTCACTCTGGGCACGCTTCCGTTCCTGCTCAAGTTCCAGGGCCCTACGGGTCTGTTCTTCCAGTTCTGAGCAGAAAAAGAGAGGCAAATGTAGTGAAGAACATAGAGATGAAGATGATACACTAGTTTCCTTCCTGGAAATGCTCCACCCCAGGGCACAGTTGGCAGAAAGCTTTGAGCACACTTCTTGCCCCATCCTTCATCTATTCTGTGGCCACACCTCAACTACATTGTCTTAGTCTGCAGCTCATACATAAGGGTCTCCAGCTCACAGAGTCAGGCTCTGGGAAAAACCCAATCTACAAGGTGACTTCAAGCCTCACCTTGTTGAGCCTTCTTAGTCTGTTCCTCTATCTGCTTCAGCCTCTCCATCAGTTCTTCCTTCTCCCGTTCAATCTTCTCCTTCTCCTTTTCTGCCATCTCACGCTTCTTCTTCTCATTTTCCAGCAGAGCACTAAATAAGGAGAAAAAAACAGATGGAACAGGATAGTAAGGCTGCATGAAAACCTGGGGATTCCTGAGGCTCCCTGGCCCTGGGTCCCTCAGCCCCCATCCTGCCAACACACCCAGGTCTTATAAGCTTGGGCCACTTTCCTTTACTGCCACATCCTTGTCCTCTTATCATAGCCCCATGGGGGCCAGTTTGCTCAGGGTCTGGTCAATTTGTCCCTGAGTCAGGAGACCCAAACTAGAATCCTACCTCTGCCACTAACCCACTGGGTAAACATAGCTATGTCACTGCTTTGCTCTTGTTTTCAGTTCCCCATCCATAAAATAATCTAGTAAAGTCCTGCCCTATCTACCTTGTTAGAGGGAGTTAGAGGGAAACAAGTTTTGGTGCTGTGCTTCAAGCCTGTTAGTCTCTGTGGCTAGGGCATTGGTCCTTAGGTCTAACTCTGTCTTCCCTAAAGCCAAGCTCTAGGCTCCTTATTCCCAAAATTTTTTGCAAACCTGGAATAAGTATTTCCTTTTCCTTGCCCTAGCACCTCTTCTAGGAAGGCTTCTTGTTTCCCTTGGCTGGATGTCTTCTCTCCCTCTGAGCCCTCTGAATACTTGGCCTACTCTTCTCCTGATCCCTCTTCCCAGTTATTTTTCTCAATAGCACTTCTTACAATCTCAAATACCATATAATTTGCTTATTTATTATATCTGCCTCCTCCCACTAGAATGCTAGCTTCATGAGAACAGGGATTTTGGGTCTGGTTTTTTTTTTTTCACTGCTCAATAAATATTAATTAAATGAATGAATAACACAGCCTTTGGCCTATATTTTTTCCCCTTTCCCCTATTAGACTGTGAGGGCCTAGAGGGCAGATTCCTGCCAGATCCAGCTCTGTAAACTGCCCCCCTCAATCCTGGTAAATTTTTTCTGAATAAATGTGAAGTTTAGTGTCTAACCTCTCAATGAAGTCTTTTCCAGCCTACTTGATTAGAAGCTTCCCAAGGTTCCTAATTCTTTATGACATAGTACCTACTAGAGTAGTGCTCCTCAAACCTTAACATGCACAGGAATCACCTAGGATCTTTTTAAATATAATTTATTAAAGTGAAATTCACATAATATAAAAATTTTGGTACTCTTCCCAATTCTCAAAAAGCCCTGTAGAATCCAAGTTTAAATGTGCATGGAGCCCTCCGTTACTGCCACTATACTGGTCGGTTAGCCCAGAGCAACCCAAAGTCTGCCGAGCACTTCTTTTTGTTCTTTTTTATTTATTTTTTTTCATTATAAAATTTTTTTTACTTAATTTTTTTTTCCCATGGCACTACTGACAGCTGAATGCCGAGCACTTCAATAGCATGAAAGTCATAGATAATGGGGAACTGTGAAATGCCTGTCCTTTCTATAAGCCTCTGAAAGCCTAAGCTTCTGATGTTTGCTTCCCAGGAACAGGGATGCCTGAGACTGAATGGGGAGCAGGAGGAGCACTTTCTAGGTTGGCTTCATGCCATGCCTTATCAGGATATGCAGTTTTGACAAGCTTTGTTGCTCCAGCCCTGGCCCCAATTCCAGCTTTGCAGCACCTACCGCTCCATCTGTTTCTGGTGCTTCTCCTCCCGGGCCTGTGCCTTCATCTGCTGCACCTCAATGGTGTCAGGCTTGCGGCGGCGCATGTACAGCTCATGGTTCCCCATGCACAGAGCCAAGATCCGCTTGTTAATCCGCAGTCGGGGAGCATAGAAGACGAAGTCCTGGTGGGAAAGCAGCAATCAGCAAGGGTATGGAGGGACGGGTGAAAGTGACCTTGTGCCTTCTGAAAAGCTAGGTCCAAAAGCACTGGAAAGATTATTTTAATCCAATCCTTCACATTACAGATGGGAAGACTAATTATCAGAGTGGTGAAGTAACTTGCCCAGGGTCAGATGGCATATCAGTGGCAGACCTAAGAAGAAAAACTCAGGTTTCTTGACACTGAAACCAGTGCTTTTCCCACTAAACCAAAATTTCATTCAACCTTTATTTATGAAAAGCATCCTAAATTACCCTTAATCAACTTCAGGTATCTGAACTATCTTTCTTTGCTAATTAGGAATACTGCTGGGTCTCAAGAGACCTCTTTAGAAGCCAAATATTCCCTGCATAATACCCTGGTGGGTACAATATGGGTGGCTGGACTGTTTCTCCTAAAAGCATATCCTAGACCTAGCCCTTTAAGTTTTATTTGGAACAAAGTAGACTGTAAATACATACATAAAAACATAAATCTCTTGAGCACTGATGGTCCTGGTTGTTGTTTCATAAACAAGGCCTTGATCTCGGCTGGCTTTGTTACTTACCTTTTTTTGATGAAAGTTGAGCACAGCAGCAATAAAAAACCACACACACACACACACAGAAAGAAAATCCAGTGAGTTTAAGTTTGTTACTACAAATGCCACTGGACCACAGTCACCAGCTGACAGGTTAACTACCACCTCCTCTGCCAATGACCCCAAATTGCTACCATCTCACATAGGTTGGGGTACAGTAGAAGGAGCACAAGCTCTCAAGGTCAAATGACCTAGGTATAAATCCCAGCTCTACTGTTTTTAGCTGTGTGATCTTGGGCAAATCACTCTTCATTCTCTCTAAACCCCACTTTCATCAGCTATAAAATGAATATGCTACTACCTACCTGACCATGTTATTGAGGGTTCAAGGAGATAACATGTGTATCAGAAAAGAAAGAGAAAAATACAATGACATCATTGCTCCTGGTGTTATACAGGCCTTGGCAAGTACCTATCTTGGCCAGAGAAAGAAGTCACTCACCGGGGCTTTTTTGTCAATGGGCTTGATGACAAATTTCTTATCATTGAAAGAGATGTTCCTGATTTCACTCCAGGGGAAGCCTATCTTGGGAGTCAGTCTGTAGAAATGAACACCGATAACATCAGGATAAGACAAAGAACATAGAGGGCTGGTACCTTGCCCTCTCCCCCACCCCAAACTTCTCTGAGGGAATAGACTCAGTGCCAGTTCAGCCAGTATCATCACAAGCCAGCAGGTCAGTTGCCAGCATTGAGGGTGCACAAAGGACCTCCTGATACCACAACCAACATATGATTCCTCATCCCAATCTCCGAGGTTTGTTTTGTCGTATTTTTGGTTGAGACATGGATCTTATTCCTCAGCAAAATGCCCAACCCCATTTAACTGAGACTATTCTATCTGAGGTTGTAAAATTTAAGGAAAAGGTAAATAATGAGCTGCAAGATTCAGGAGTTATATGGAATAATAATCTATCTCCATCCTCACCAAGACAAAGAGGAAAATATAATCAAGAGAGAGAAGGCCATAGTGAAAGGATTATAGACCAAAAACCATTTAACACAAAGTAGTTTCTAGGCTAGCACTGTCCAACAGAAACATAATGAGGGTCACATATGATTTTTAGTTTTCTATTAGCCACATGGAAATAAGTAAAAAGAAATAAGTGGAATTAATAAATTTAATTAACCTAATATATCTTAAATACTGTCACTTCAACATGTAAATCAATATTTTAAAAAATAGTAATGAGACATTTTACATTCTGTTCTTCACACTAAGTCCTCAAATTCCAGTGTATAATTCACACTTACAGCACACTTAGATTTCAGATTAGCCACATTTCAACTTTTCGCTAGCCCCATGTGGCTAGCGGCTACCATAGTGAACTGTGCAAGTCTAGTTAATACCGGATTTAGAGGCCTGAAGGAGGTTGTGAAATTATCTGGGCTAGACTAAATTAGGTAGAAAAAGAACTGAGATGGGACCTAAAATATATAGTCTTGCTACATAGTGAGGGGTAAGACCTAGATGTCAGAGTGGCCCAGTAAACGAAGAGAGGTCTTGGGTATACCTGTCATTCTGCTCATAGATGTTCAGTCCCAGAGCATCTACCCCCAGCCACAGTTCTGAGCCTTTCTTGTTCTTGATGCTGAAGTAGTTCACACCATACATCTCTAGGTCTTGAGCAATTTTCAGATATTCCAGGACAGCATCCTCCCTAAATGATACAGAGTGAGAGACCATACAGGGGAGCCTGTGAATTAGACCCAGGAAGATAGAAAGCCTTGCTTGCTCTGTACTTCTGACAAGTATTTTGCTATCAGGAGTGGGGAAGGGGACAAAATGCAAGCAGATGATGGAGAAGAGAGCACAATGTGACTTTTGTGAAGTGAAACCTGCTGACAAAAATCTAGGATCTGATGCTGCCAAAGGGAATAAGGGTGGGCTGATACTTGCTAGCCTATAGCATGTTAGCTGCCACAGAAGCAATTTTTTTCCTCCCATTTATTGTGACAGTCTCTTATATAGGCACATTGTTAGTAGAGCTCAGATAGGATGGTGAGAGCAAAATGATGAAATTTTTTCCTCAACTAGACAACCTCCAAATGCTTTGCCATACTTAAAGAGAGCTCCTTCTACATTTACTTCTTGGGAAGGAGTCCTTGGTGGCCTAGCAGCTCCCTGGGGATCCTGAGTCCCCTCCATTTCTCTATGGTCAAAATGGATTGGGTTACCAGTTGCCACCATTTGCCAAAACAAACAAAAAAATGAACAAACGCCTTATAATTGTTCTGGTTTGCCTTCTATCTTTAAGTGCCAGTATGATCCCTGTCCCTCTTTCTCCAACATCCACCAATGTCCCAGTCATCTGTCTCTCCTCCCCAGAACCCACTCTCCTTTCCCTGTATAAGGGTAGTGGGGCCTGTGACTGCTTGGGCAGGCTTACCTGAGCATGCCCCGGTGTTCCTCATGCCACACCTGGATGCGCTCCTCCCACTGGTCCTTGTTGAGTTTGTGCTGCTCCAGTACTCTAGAAAGACAATGGGAGATAAGTATTTTAAAGCACAAAGCCCACCTGCAGGAAGAAAGGAAAGCCCACTCCGCTCTTTAAGGGGTTGATGGAAAGAGGATGCAGAGTTAGTCCATTGAGGTCACACTGGAAGCAGACTGAAATTACAGCAGGTAGGTATTAAATCAGACATAAGGAACTGCCTGAGAGGTAGAAGAGATATAAGAATGGATGACCAATAAGAATGCCTTCCTTTGTACCTTTATCCAGAAAATCCAATAATGTGCTGTGGTCCCCAAGCAGAGCAGTAATGTTTCAGGAGTCTGCGCTGACTTAGGGCCCTAAGAATAGGAATGAGCCTCACAGAGCCAGGCACACTATCTCCTAGATCTTATTGGGACCAACAGTTTGTGTTTATAAGACTACTATCCAGAGATGAGAGGACAGCCCTTGGCTACAGAACAAAGAACTGAACCCAAATGGCTTTGGGAAAAACCAATAGGCCCAACCTCCTAGGCCTACTAGATTATAAACAAGGCTTGATTAAACATTCCATCTCAAATATCATAGCAATGACTCAGGGGGTACCCCAGGTCACAGCCACTATCCCTAATACCTTCTGGTAGGTTGTACCTATGCCACAGTTCTAATGGGATTGGGGTTCCCAGAATGAAGAGAGGCTTCTTGTTCTAATCTAAAAGCCTATGGAAATGGCCAATGGATGTAGCAGAAAAAAACCCAGGGTTAAAATATTAAGAGACTAGGTGTTCCAGGTCTTGCTCTGCCTCAAATGAGTTGTAGGAGATGGGGCAAACCAGTGTAAGGATCTGTGCACTTCTATTTCCTTAACTAAGAAATAAGGATAATGCCTGCCTTATTCATTGTATATTGTTGTGATTCGTAAACAAAAATAATGAGTGTTTGGGGGCTTTCAACTTTGAAGCAGAAAGCTTTTTACACTGGTTATCAATATTAAAAGACTATTTGAGCTCCCCATATCCCTGACTTGCATATTTCTATCTCTCCCACGTGAACGAACTTCTGATATAAGAGGACTAAATCAGTGAAAAGGATTGAGAAAATGGAACCAGGGAGGAGAAAAACAAATCAATTCATCTCTGGCTATATAAGCACCTGCCTCCAGGGTAATGAAGTTCTGTAATCAGGCAGAGTGGGGGAAGAGACTTTTTATTTGCAGAGCCAGAGAAAAAACAGGGTATGACGTTATATGCAAATATGTCTCTCTGAGAAACATAACATGGTCTTCAGACAGACCTTAGTGGAGAGGAACAGATCTGGCAGCTTCCATGCAGCAGGGATTGGTCAGCCCTAGGCTGCAGCCCCCTCTGGCCAGGGCAAAGAAGGCCAGAGAACCACCTCACCTCTGTGGCAGCAACTTGTCTCCAGCCAGGTAGCCAGATTTGTGCACCTCCTTATTGAAGTCGCCATACTTGGACTGGACAGCATAGGAGGCAAGCAGCACAGCAGTCTCAGGAGGACAGTAAATGTCATCATTGAGAATGCCTTCTTTCACTTGCAGAAAGAACAGGCGCTGTGTGATGTCTTGGATTAATTCCTCAGATACATCCTCAGGGTAGAACTTGGCCCGGAACTTGAAGAGCAGGGGGCTTTCCTTCCGCACATCCTGGGCAGTCACCTGGGAGCAGCAAGGGGGTTATAGGTTCTCAAAAAATGGGCTTTAGGGGTGGGGGAGTGGCTATAGGGTAGGGAAAAAAACACTGAAAGGTCATCAATTTGTGTAATTGCAGAGAGCCTGGTGGCAACCCAGCTAGTAATTCTGACAGGAGACATTACTTTCATTGGGGACCCAATCCCTTATCTATAATCGCTTTCTATTGGGAAACTGTTCCTGCAATTACCTAACAACCACTGACAGTCAGAAGCCTTCAAGCCTCTATTATCTGATAATATAACCAACTGCCCCCAAACTCTGAGGGTCGGCATAAGCTCCTATTCTGAGCTCCTCTTATAAGTGTCCTCCAACTCCATAAATTAGTAAAGACTGGGATTATGACTGAGGCCTGAAAATAACACAAAGTTTATCTCCTTTTAAAGCCTAAAACTGATTCCTAATGGCTCTGCATTTGTCCAGGAAGTCTCACCTCTTAAAAAAAACAAGACTCTACCAGCACTCACCCCCTAGACACAATCAGAGAAATAAGCCACAGGACAGTGGGGAGACCTCTAAGGACAAGGTCAGCCAGGCTGAGGATACCAAGATGAAAGACTGCCAGGTTCCTGCATAAATGCTGCTTGGAGCAGAGAGCTTGAATGGAGTTAAACTGTCCCATTTGGGGTCCAATTGATGTAGAAGATCAAGAAAGAAAGAAGCATATATATGAGCTTCAGGTACCAGTTGACCAGTGGGGTACGGGTGGCATAAGACTAGGAGATCTTTAAGATTTTTTTTAGTTCAAGAGTCTGTGGCTCTCTGTTTAATAAATCTCCTAGAGCCCTTAAGTGTGGAAAGAAGAAGGGGATACCAATACCCTCTTGAAAAGCCACTAAAATGGCTTTGGTCCAAAACAAGTCAAAGTGGAGACAGAACAAGAGTTTTGCCTTGGCTGAATCCGCTGCCTTTATTCTGATTCAGGTGGTCAAGAGACCACCCAATGACAAACGTAGCCCTAGGTACCCTGGGTTTGCCAGCTAGCACTTGGTAACCCCCTGAGCTAGTTCTGGTGGAGAAATGAATTCTATGCCAGAAAGGGGGTAAGCAGTTACCTTCTTATTGAGTTTCAGCCAAGTGGAGAAACCTTTAGTGTCCTGATACTGCAGACCAAAGAACCAAACTTCCCTTAGGCCAATAGTTTTCACCACCTAGAAGAGAAAACACAAAACAACTATTGATTGAATACCTAGCCTGTGCCAGGCACAGAGGATAATACAAAGGTTGAAGCCAACATGGTCTCTGCCCTTAAAGGGTTTAAGATGCTCAGAGTCTGGCAAGAAAATATACTTGGGCAGCAATCAAGAACGAATGTCAGCATCTCTCTGAACAAAGTATTGCTCAGATAGGGAAGGTATCTATTACTTATGAGCACTGCTATACATCAAGAACCTTACATCCATCATCTCCTTTAATTTTCATGATAGCCCTGTGATACAATTATAATTAGGCCCATTTTACAGATAACAAATGTGAGGGTCAGAGAGATGAAACAATTTGTCCCAAGGTTCAAGTAGTGAGTGGCAGAGTCGAAATTCAAACCAGGTCTGTTTGACTCCAAATCCATTCAAATTTCTTATACCTCCTTCCTCCCTCTACAATGCCATGCAACTTCCCACTCCCAGGATGGATTAAAGACTGAAGGTGGAGATAGTTTGACTAACTCCTGCATCTTGTTCTCCAGGGTTGCTCCCATATATTGTCCTTTATCTTTAGCAACTGGGAGTAATGCTCACACTCTTAAGAATGAGTCCCATTTATAATACACCAAGAAGGAATGTTCGATAAGTCAAAGCAGAGGCTGTGATATCTATACACCCTGAAGCTATGCCATTCCTGGGAGCTAAGATGTTTTTCCAGTTCTGATCAGAGCCCAGTTGTGATTCCTCTTACACTCACACATTAAGGGTGGAAACAAGGTGGATGCCTCAGTATAGTAACTGAGGGACCCCCTGTTGTTCTGGGCCTCCTAGCAGTGGGCAGGAAAGGGAGGCCTGCCAGGAGAAGATAGACAGGTCTGTTCTCTAGTCCCTGACATTAGCATGTTAATAGTCTGGTTGTCAGCTCAACCCCAGCATGCCCACCATGGGGACGGCAGCAATGAAGCTGAGCCACATCCCAATGAGGCAGTCTTCTTTATCTTTTCTTATTTTGGGGGAGATGGAAGTGGAGGGTTAGGGTGAGGTGAATAAAGAATCTAAGAAATGTACCTACAGACAGAAGCAGGGAATAAGGACCCAGTGTTATTGATCTCCTTTCCTGTGAACAAATTAATATCTCTCCTCAAAACACACATAAACATACACATAGACACCCTTCCACTGCATCCAAAGTCAGGCCCCACAGTCACACCTAGAGTTGACAATCTAGAGATTCAGAGACCCCAAGGAAAAAATAGTTAATATTTATTAAGCCACATGCCAGGTACTGAACACTAAACAACCTTGTGAGATAGTAATTATTCCCATTTAATAGATGAGGAAACTTACAGAGGCAACCTATCCAAAATCACAGAGCCAGGAGTCTCTCTGAACCTGTTCTGGTTCAAGGTGCTTCCTGATTAATAATCATAATAATAATAATAATAATACAAAATCACAGAGCTATATAGAACCCTAATGTGTCTGACTCCAAAGTCTGTACCCTTTCTTCTTTAGCATGTTATCTCCTAATGCCAAGGGCTCACAGGAGCTTAGGATCCCTGGGGTTCTCCAGTAAATAACTGCCTTGTCTTTCTTCTGGCCCAGATATCCCATCCATATAATGAACTTTGACCACCTCTGCATTTAGGTATGTTTCCTGGCTTTCTCACTAGGCCCAGGCAACAACCACTTTGGGGAAAAGCTATGTTCCCAAGGCATCAACCTTCATTGTTCACCAGGTCACCCTTTCACTTCATAGTTTAAATCAGATATCAGGAAACTTGAACCAAAGTCTCAGTACTATCTCTAACTAGCTATGTGATCTTAAGGTAGCACATTTCCCTCTCAGGGCCTCAGCTTCCTCAACTGTCCAAACTGGGGGTGTGGCTTAAATGTGCCACACACATTTCTTAAGTTTTGCCATTCTACTAATTAGGTTACAAGGTTATTTTGTCAATGGTTAAGAAAAATAATCCAAGGAAGGCATGGTGGCTTGTGCCTTACGTTGAAATGCGACATTGGCTTTCTGCAGAAGATGCAGGGAGCAGATGGATGTGAACATGAAAGATTTTTTAAAGCACCTCTTATTTCATCCTAGATCTAAGATAGGCCCAATTAGGAGTTCTAATGATTTCCCACAGGGTTGCAGAAAAATAGTATGTCCAGATGCAATTGGTGGGAAGAAACAAGTTCTAAGAAACAATCCAGCTCTGAGAGAGAGAGACAGAGACAGAGAGTCTCAAAACCCCACCGAAGATGCTAAAGAAAAAATGGATCCTTATGGCCAGGATACTAGGTCATGGGCAGAGGGGGCAGACTAGAAACAGAACTTATGGTTTAGATGTGGTTTGTCCCCACCAAAACTCATGTTGAAGTTTAACTGCCAGTGCAGCCATGTTAGAAGGTGGAACCATTAATAGGTGGAGCCTAATAGGAAGGTGTTTGGGTCATGGGGGCTCCACCCTTGTGGACGGCTTAACCTTCTGCCACATTATGAAGCAGCATGAAAGCCCTCACCAGAAGCCAAGCAGATGCTGGCACCATGCTCTTGGACTTTCTAGTCACCAGAATTATAAGCCAAATAAACCTCTTTTCTTTATAAATTACCCAGTCTCAGGTATTCTGTTATGCCAACACAAAACAGCCTAAGAGAAGCAGACATCAGGCTTTGCCTGTACAAATAGGCCAGTTGTAGAGGCTCAGAGCCCCCAGGACTGAAGGGAAGTGAGGCAGGCACAGACTGTGCAGACAGTCCTAGAGATCCAGGAGTGAGCTCCTTTGCCTTTTCTTATGCCATGTTTTCGGTTTCACTAGTGGGCTGGGTACGGGCGTGATGAGAGGAAGAGGATCATGGGGACCAAAGTAGTTCTGAGATCCAGAGTAGCTCAGAAAAGTCAGACAAAAAAATAGCTAAAGCAATGTCAAAAGAAAGATTTCAGGATCAGTGAGTGATTTTGATGTCTCTAAGCACTGATGATCCCTTTGTAAACATAAAAAAATCAGAAACATAAATTTTCCACTTTCCCCAGCCTCTAGGGCTTGAAGAGATTAGCAATCTCTCTCAGCCTCCACTGAAGTCCTGAAGTGAGGATGTAGGGGGAAGGAAACATGGTCTAAAGTCAGACTTGAGACTGAAAAAGAACAAAGGACACAAAGGGATAACCCCTGACCCCAAGCTATAAGGAAATCTCTAAGGTCCATGGGGTACTGGGAACCATTTGATCATGCAACTCTTGGCCCCATTTCCAAGTCTCAGGACATGGAAATGGGGCCAAGCTTTGCTTGCTTCCAGCTGAGACCTTCACGCCTGAGAAAAGAGAAACCTCATTTTCAAATGGGAGAGGAGCATCCAGCTACCAGTTCTAGGAATAACCTCTGTGGTTCCAGTGACTAGGGTCTTTATCATTCTACTCTAAAAAATGGTTCCATCCCTGAGGGGAAAAAAAAAATCTTTCTTAGCTCCCTTTGATCCCAGACTACCAGCTCATTTGATCTGAGTGAATATTTCTCAAAGCTGCCATGGAAGAAATCTTTAAGCAGTAGAAAATAATTTAATGTATATACCCAGGGGATACAGGGGGCAGGGTGGGATGAGTTGGGGGGAGATAATAAGTAGATGGCTATAAACCAGCCATAATTTCTTTGAAGTCTCAGGTTTAGTCTTAATCATTTATGTGAATTTTAGTTGCTACTCCTTAAATATTGCATTTTTAAAATTATTACAAGTAAAACTGATGCTCCAAGATTATAAATCACATTTATCTCACAGTTTTATGTCCTCCCTAAAACCTGCCACATTCACCTAGAACTTCAGTTCGTAAGACGCTGGCTTAAGAAACTGGAGGATGTGGATTCTACTCAGCCCCAACCACAAAAATCCCCAAAACAGACTATGGAGAGTTATAGGGTTCAAGTAACATAAACCAGAAAACTGAGGTACAGTGAGCAGAAGAAATTTGTCTCTGAGAAAATGCTCACTAATTGCCAGGAGCTTCTGGATATAAGAAATAACCTCCTTTACCTTGCTTTTATATGTGGAGGCAGCTTACACCTGTGGTCTGTAGAGGGAAGGGGAAGTCAGGTCAGTTGTGGACCTTAGATCTATCCCTATGCATCTATCTGAGTAAATAAACTAGTGACGTCATCAGCCATTTCAGAAGCCCAGAGTAGGGTCAGGAAGCAAGGCTGGGGCCTAAAGAGGAGAAATACATGAGAAATGATGTGTGAAGCTGTGTCAATGCCCAAACACCTGAGGCCCACTGAAATCCCATTACAGGCTTGACAGCAGCTCCATCAACCACCCACCTGAAAGCAAATAAATGCACAAATGGAAACTCCAAGAAGGGCTGCAACCATCACTGCTCCTGTTACTCCACACTGCCTATGCTCAAGTGGCCACCTGCTCTATAACTTAGAACCAGCTGAGTATGTTCTCTGTTATAGAGCAGTTTTGGAATCAGGCAACATACTCAGCTGGTGGGGTTCTAAGTTTTGGAATCAGGCTAAGGGTGGGGTGTGGTTACAGAGGACACAGCTGATAAAAGGCACCAAAAAACCTGAAAATGCTACATTCCCTGGTTCAAATCCCAGTTATACCACTTCTTAGCTATGTGACCTTAAACAGATATTTTCACCTCTCCAAGCTTCAGTCCCTCATCTTTAAGATGGTGATACTACTATTATAATAACAAATGTTAGTTAATAAAAACAGAAGAAGAGAAAGGTTTGCTGTCCTCAATGCAGTGTCTTTGAGTCTTAAGTACTTTACTGAGTCAGAAAAGCTTCCTGATTTCACAGTTCCCTCATCTGAACTCCCAGGGCAATTGCCACTTACTTATTTAGCCCTTAATAAGAACAACCGACATTACAATGCCTGCTATACAACAGACAGTTTACTTATTTGAGGATTAAATCACAAAATCTCTTGAGATTAGTGTGATTATCATTTTACTGAGGAAAGTTCTGAGAGACTAAATGAGCCATCCAAGGTCACACAGCTAAGTAGCAGGGCAGAATTTGAATCTATGGCCAATGCCAGCTCCTATGCCTTATATGCCACCCGATTCAACCTGAGCCTCAAGGGTGCTTATTTCATTCTTTGTGGGAGGAGAGTAGAATATGCTTCTCTATGCCTCTATAGGTTAAGGAACTCCAAGTTCCTTAAGGGCACAGATGGTGTTTAACAGAATAACCTTTCAGTCAATATTGAATGAGTCAATGAACAAATGAAAGAATATATGCTGAGATTTCACCTCTCTCCTTAGAGCTCAAAGACCTTGAGGGGAGGGGGCAGGTAAAGGTAGCCTATAGTTAGAGCTAGAGAACCTGGTTGGGGAGGAGCCAGACAGACGGTTCTCAAAGTAGAACTCATAGTGGCAGCACTGCCCCTTAGTGGCACCTAAATAATCTATGATCAAGAGCCTTTTAAAGATGCCCAGGCTTCAGAAGTTGAGGCAAGTGACAGAATCACTCTAGCAAAACATGTTCACTCTCCTCCCTAGCTGTAAGCATACTCACAAAAAGAAACAGAAGTAAATGGAAGGAACTGTGGGCCCTACTTCCCTTTCCCACCAAGCCCTGCGCCTCCTCAAATTATGGCATCCCACCGTTGCCTATTATTTATCGCTGGTGCCAAGAAGAGTGCTTCCTCTCCCGTCTGCTTCCTCTCTGGTCATCAGCCAGATGAATGCTAGGTTCCAGGATAGTCCTCGAGCCTTTTTCAACTCTCCCCAAGGAGGCCAGCTCCTTCCTCCCAGGCCCTGGCTTCACCAGGAGGGCCTCCTTGAATGATTGGTCTCAAGGGCCAGAAAGAACAGACTTCCTCCCTTTTACCTCATCTAGTTAAAGAGAGACAAGATCTCACATCCCCCAACTGCCTATGAACACATACCTCTGCAGATTCCTGTCCTGACCTACCTTAGCCTCAAGAGGGCCAAATACTCAATTCCTTGTCTTGAGCTCAAATCTTTACCCCTGTAGTTTTCACCTATGAGGTCCTAGCTCTGACTCTTCTGACCTCACAGAATATGACTGCCCCCTCCTTTCTAAGACAGTTTCCTCTGAAGACAGAGAATACATCTTTCCTGAGTTTTCTCCAAACTAAACAGCCTCATTCACCCCAAGCAGAGTAGTGCAGTGAAGAAAAAGGTATAGTTTTGCAATTAGAGCTGTATTCAAAACTCCATGTCACAATTTACTAACTACATGACCTACAGTATGTTCTTTAATCCTCACAATAACCCTGCCTCAGAGAGGTGAAAGTACCTAGCCAGGAATAGTCCCTAGTAGGTAAATAAATGATACTTCTCAAGACAACACTGATATTCTAGATGGGAAGTCATGAACTTCCTGGTTTCCTCCCTCTCCTCTCCACAACCAGTATGAAAAATTCAAGTCTCTCAAGGGTTTTGTATGAGAAGCAGTAGCTTTCAGAACTAGCACACCAGTCTGGCCAGGGCTCCCTACCATCTGGGCTTCCCTCAGAACCACACCCACAGTATGCAAACCAAACCAACACTAACAAAAAATTACCAGGCCTTGCGGCTTTTCAAAGTTAATAAACCTCTTTGTTCAAGGATTTTTTTCTGCCCCGAGCTCTAAATCATGCCTTCCTCACCCTCCGCAACCATCCCCCTCCAATGCAAAGGAACAAAGCCCCCAGTGTCGAGGGCAAGGGATGGCGTCATTTGGTTTGGGAGGGGAAGTGAGTACAATCAGGGCCCTGGGAAGGAGTCTAGGTAGAAGCCAAAGGAGCCTCCGGCTCCCAGCTGGACCATAAAATCTGCACTGACTGACACCCTCCCCTCTATAGCTGCTGCCCAGAATGAAACTGCTGTTTAAAACAAAGGGCCCAAAAGCCTATGTATTATATGGATACCCCCCTCCCTTTTGTCCCAGAGACAGTAAGAAGCCTGTCTAGAAGAGATGTGCCCCCTGGCAGCTAGCCCCACCCCCCCATATAGACCAACAGCTAATCATAGTCAGGGGAGGTATTTCCCTCTTTTTTACAGAAAAGGGTTGACTGAAATAGTGAGAGGGAGAGAAATAGTGAGAAAAGGGTTGATCGAAATAGTGAGAATAAAAATGAAAGAGAAAAAGAAATGGAATGCAAAAATAAATGCCAGAGATAAAGTTTTTGAGAGATAACCAGATTGGAAAGATAACTTAGATACTACAGATGGGAAACTCTCCAATATAAAACCTGCATGCATCTGCAGCCATTATATCTACCATCACTGAAAAAGGGAAAAAAAGGAAAAAGAAAAAAAAAGCTGCATGTAAACAGAGAATGTAAAACCTTAATATAATCAGGATGCATTCATTCATTCCAGACTAGCACTGTAATCACTTGTGAGCTTTGTGAATGTCAGCACATTAATTGTACTAAATATATATTTAAATATTCCTCAGACTAATTTGTATTTTCATAAATTAAATATGAATTATTATACTTCACCAATCTAAACAAAACAAAGACAAAACAAATTCCAGAGAGAAAGCAAGTTTCAGCTAAATCCAAAGTTAGATATTCTGAGGATCATTAAGCCCATCTCCCAACTTTAGCTCATTAATGAGATAAGAAGCACCACGGTATTGGAAAAGGAACTATTATTTATCACATCTCTACTACATGCTGGAAGCTTTATATAACACCCTCTTCTCTATTTGTATTTTCTCATTATCTTTTTCATCTCTTTCTAATTTATCTTTTTGGATTAGGCATCCTTATATGCCACCATATCCAGTTTTTATGGATAACAGACAAGAAATAAAACATAATATACTCACAAAAAGCCTATGAGGTAGATATTAGACTGTTTCCTCATGTTTAAAATGGGCCAGTACTAATTCCTGCACTCATAGGGCTTTGTGATAGTCAAATATAGTACCTGGCATACAGTAAGCCCTGGAAAAATGTTAACTATCATCTGTATTAGCCCCAGACAACAATTTTCCCCACTCTGTGTAACATCAGGGACTTAGAGGGCATGTCCAAGCTGTCCTCAGATTTCTAGCCATCTCTTCCTTCCTCTTACATAGAGACCTGATTGGAAAACAGCCCCATCTCACCCCCATCTCCATTCCAGATTTATCTTTCCTCTCACTAGTCAGGAATATTCACAGGAGTAGAATTAGCCCATTAGAACACAGCCTCCTCCTCCTTTCTTCCTTTCCCTCCTCAACCCCAGGTAACTTCTCATACAATAAAGGGACCCAGAGAACAAGGGAGAAAGGGAAGCAAGAGGGCCAGGAGACTATCAAGGTGATATGCAGCTCCAACATCCTGGACAATAAGTCAGACTCTCACCCTGTCAGAGGCTGGTGGGAAAATGGGAGCCTCATTTTTGCTCCTAGAAATCTGGCCATAGATGGCACACTGCCCTGGTCCCTGGGGAGTATTTGAATGCTAAAAGATTCTGTAGTTCCCACCTGGTTATTATACAGTACATCCTTTCTGGCAGTGGTGATTCACAGTGAGGGGATACCCTTGACTTTACCAAAAGGGACTAAGCAGTTATCTCCATAGCATGCCTGCAGGAGGTAAAGTACCCTTCCACTGCATCCATCACCCCCAGTGTCATCCTAAGTCTAGCATTCCTTTGAGAGAAATGTACATGAGCTCACTACCTCAGGGAGAATAAGTTGGTTTCCTTCTACTTAGGAAGCAAAAAAAAAAAATGTGACAGAGGCTATATGGTATAGTGGCAAGAATGTGGGGGTCAAATCCCAGCCAGATACCAGCTGGATGCAACTAAATTTAACTTCTGATCCTCATCATTAAAATGGAGAAGCCATCACTTAACATCTTTCAGAGTTGAAAGGAAGGTTCCATGTGCTAACATCTGTAATGTATCTAGCACAAAATCATACCCTCCTCCCGCCAAAGACAGGATTAATCAGGGCCATGGGATATAGGTTGCCAAAGTTAAACTTTGCCCCCTTTTTTTATTAAGGCTATAGTCAGCCTTTGTTTTGACCTATCTTGGAGTGAGTAGGGAAAGAGATTCTCTGACAAAAGGCAGAAGGCATAGATAGTTAGCATTATGGTGGAAGCTATTGGGAGAAGAGGAGGAGGCTAAGGGGCAACAAGTCCCACCATTACCTGGTCAAACAGCTGCTTGCCAGTGGTGTTGGGCTGGATGGCAAACTCCAGCTCTGCATCCATGGTAGTCACCCGCACACTGATCTAGGATGAGATTAAAGAGGACAGGTTAGTTGTCTGGCTCTGTGTTCAATAGAGCCTGGGACAAATATCTCTGTTCAACCACAGAGGAGAAAACCAGGATGCTAAGAACCTGAGAAATTTAGATACTGCTGGGAATATTGGCCCGAACAAGCAATAACCCAGCCCCTGCTCCCAACCACTTTACTGAAGACAAAAAACACAGCCAGGGCAATACCTACCAAGGGGCAAACAAGAATGTAAAACAGCTTACAACCAAGAGGAAGCAAGTGCTAACTATACCTCTTTCAGGAAGTCTTCCCCATCTATTTTAGCCAGCTCCAGCCCACAGCATTCTCTTCTTACCTCCGATCTACAGCTTGGATTATCTACAGCACTGATAGATAATTGCAGAAGCAAGCTAAGAATAGGATAAAGAACACTGGGTTCCAAGCCTAGCACTGTAACTGTATCTACAACCTTAGATAACGCTTATGTCTTTCCTGGGCCTTAGTTTCCCTCATCTGTACAATGGCAGGAATGGGGTGGGGGAAACCAATTAAACCAGGTAATTTCCAAGGGCCATTTCAGTGCTGATGTCTGTGGTTCTATATACAGCCTTGCATTGTTAACACTTCTTGTATTTGTCTCATTGGTCTCCCTAGGCACAAGAGAAGAGGGCCCCAACAGAGGTAGGTGTGGGCAGCACAGAGGTGTTACCAAAGCCAAGTCAACAGAGGGACAAAGGGACAGAGGGACAAAGGCACAGGCCCAGACCAAAGTAGCAGGCAGCCACACACCTGATTTCATAGGCACTAGAAAAAGTACCTACCACCTTTACAAATAGATTCCCTAACCCAGGCCAATGACAGTTGAAATTTCATATTAGAGATTTGTTCCTTTGGCTGAAAACTTGGTAGTGATGGTAGTACTAGTAGTAATAACAACAGGCAGTAGCTTTTATGTGTCAAGACTTGCTGCTCACTGGGCATTTCATATGTGCTACTCCATTTAATACCAGCAATCACCCTGTGAAGTAGAGAGTATTATCTCCACATTGGGGATAAAGCAATAGATACTTGTCTAAAGTCACATTGTTATTAAGTAGAGGAAATAGGGTTTAAATCTAGGTCTAAATCTAAACCTCACAATTTAAACCAATATGCTAAATTCCTGTTACAAAGCACAAAAGTCTTCCATTAAAAGAAATCAAAGATGAATTTTTTAAATTGTTATCCATTTTGCTTAAGTAGGTAGTCTATACGACCCGTCCACAAGATGGCTTGTTATATGCCATGTAAAATCTTTACGAAGACTATTTCATGCCCACAAAAGACATTTTAGTAATAGTAAGTGAGAAAGTGCAAACAACAAGTTTTCATACAGTGCATGAGCTCAACTTTGTAAAAAGTATACATACAAGGATGATTTGAATCATGTCTAAGTGTTAGGCTTGGTTTTAGGGTGGTGATCTTATGAGTGCTTTCTCCTTTCTTTAACCTAAAAAAAAAAAAAAACCTAATCTACATTTTCTAGGATGGTCACATACTAATTATACTATTGAGAGAAAAGACCAGAAACAGAATTGCCAAAGATGCAAATCCCCATGGAGTAGGTAAAACATTAAGCTTTATCAGTCTTTGAACCTCTGGGACTTTCCTGAGCAGGGAAGACGGGGCCAGACAGCCATTTTGCCAGCTAAACAATTCTGATGAGGACCAGGCCCAGGGAACAACTTTGTAAATAAATCTCACTAGGGAGCCAGGGAGGAAATCTATTTCAGGATTGACAATGGGACCGGAAAAACCCTGAAAGCAGGAACAAGTAAAGCAAGTACCCCAGTGGGAGTAAGGCAAGTTTAGCCACCTTGACTCGGTGCTACCCTAGGCTTTCTGCCAATCCAATGAGCCCTATAAAATGGGTCCTCATAAAGTAGGAAGAATGAGGCCCAGTGTGCTAAAATTGGGGAGGTATCATGCTATATCCAGCCTTAAATCACCCGTGAGCTGGGTCAGGGGTAACTTCAAAATATCAATGACTAAGGAGACAAGAAAGAGTGGAAAGGGTACAGTGGGCTTTTTAGTACATTAGACTTCATTCTCACCTCAAGATTTTATGTCTTACTTAGAATTATCTCTCTAATACCCAAGACTCAGTGAGTACTCACACCAGAGGCTGGCTAAATGAACAGGTACCAAGCAAGGGGATATAAGAGATAGACAAATATAGTCCAGTTTATACACACAGAGATGGAGACATTTTATGTCTTGACCTTTCTATGCCAGGGACCTTCTTGCCTATCTAGTGGACCTTCTTAGAATATTTGTAAATGCATAAAATAAAGTAGATACAAGGAGATCAATTATATTGAAATAGTTATCAAAATTTAATAATATATGGTTATTTATTATCATTTTAAGTAATTAACTAGCACTAGGTCTTATTTCTTAGTTATTAGAATAATTATAACATTAGAATTAGAATATTAGAAATATTAGAATTAGTTATTAGAATATTTAGTTAGAATAATTTTAAATTTATATTGAGCATAGATGATATTTTGAGAAATCTATAATAATTAAATCATGACATAAAATACTTTATTTTATATAGTTTATATATAAACTTTTATTAGTTAAGAAAACTAAAGAAAGGGGTGGGACTCCAGGGAAACATTCCACAGCCTAGGAGTTAGTAACAAAATCACAGGTACTGCTATTACTACTGCATTTTTTTTTGGCCTACATTCATATTTGAAAGAGAGGCTAAATTATAAGTGAGAGGTTAGTGAAACCAAACACATAATTTTGCTCCATCTAAATTTATAAATCCTTCCCACTTCAAATTATATCCATGGACCCCATGAAGGTCTGAGGACTCCAGGTTAAGAAACCTCCTATAACTTTATTTCAATTCACCCAATATTAATGGAACACAATGTGTAAGGAGCTATGGTGGGTGGTTGGGTGCAGTGGCTCACGCCTATAATCCTAGCACCGAGGCCAAGGTGGGTGGATCGTTTGAGCTCAGGAATTCGAGACCAGCCTGAGCAAGAGCGAGACCCCATCTCTACTAAAAAAAATAGAAAATTAGCTGGACAACTAAAAATGTATAGAAAAAATTATCGGGCATGGTGGTACATGCCTATAGTCCCAGCTACTTGGGAGGCTGAGGCAGGAGGATTGCTTGAGCCCATGAGTTTGAGGTTGCTGTGAGCTAGGCTGACGCTGCGGCACTCTAGCCTGAGCAACAGAGTGAGACACTGTCTCAAAAAAAAAAAAAAAAAAAAAAAAAAAAAGGATCTCTGGTCTGAAGTGACTTACTGAATAACAGGAAAACTATAATGTACAAGGGAGACCCTGAAAAGTGCCATAACAGAAGAACAGAGGAAACCTTTTTTTAGAAGTTATGAACCACAGTTCAAAGTGTTATTTGCACTTGTCCCGAAAGACAAGCTGGATTTTGGAAAAGGGAGACTGTGGGGATATGGAGAAGAGTACCCAAATGTCCCAGGTAGAGAAACAAGTGTGTGTGGTGGCCAAGATGGAGGTAGAGATGCAGATGGTCCATTTACAAGCAGTATGTAGGTCTGCTCCAGGGTGAATGAGGCCTTTAGAGTGCAGAGTAGACAGAAAGGCTGGGAAGGTAGGTGGAGGGCCTTGAAGGCTATGCTAGAAAGCTGACCCTTAATCCTCTTGGCAGTGGCCAGCCAGCCTAAAGGTTCTGGAAAGGGTGGGGCAGAATCAGAACTGGGATTTTTAGAAGAAAGCACCCAGGAAGGAAACTAAGGAAAGAAGGACTCCAGGGAAACTTTCCACAGCCTAGGAGTTCCTAGGGAACTATTGGAAAGAATTTTCAAAGGAAGCAAGCCAGTGTCTCTCACAGATTATGTCAATTACAGGTCATGTTAATCTAGCATCTTCAGGGTACTGACCAAGGGTGGGATCCAGTGCTGGCCCATGGTAGATATTCAAATATTTGTTAAAGAAATTGTTTTTTAAATAAATCAATTAGTAAAGAAGGGCCCATCCTTGGTTAAGAATAAGCATTTCAGAGAGGTTAGTGTTAGCCATGCTTTCTCTTTCCTAGATACAGTGTCAACCCATAATAAGGGTCCTAAAATCTGAAGGTGTCCAGTGGAAACCCAGCTGGAACCTGTTTCTCCTGAATCCCTGCTCAAAATTTCTACCATTCCACTGTGGCTGCTTCTCCAGGGATAGAATTCTGAGGTTTCCTGAACTTCATTGTGGAGACAATCTTAGGTTTAAAAAAATTAGAGAGAAAAACAAATACAAAGGACCTTCCATCCTTGTCTCCACTTAACTCAGAAGAAAATGTGAGTCCTGTTGGTGGAAATGTAAACTAATACTGTTACTATGGAGAACAGTATGGAGGTTCCTCCAAAAACTACAAACAGAACTACCAAATGTCCAACAACATATAAATGAATAATAAAGCAACATGGATGAGCCTGGAGGACACTATGTTAAGTGAAATAAGCCAGGAACAGAAAGTTAAACACCACATGTTCTCACTCATATGTGGAAGCTAAAACAGTTGATCTCATAGAAGTTAAGAGTATAACAGAGGTCACTAAACTCTGGGAAGGGCAGGGGGAAGGGGGACATAGGGAGAGCATAGGAGAGCATAGAGCATAGTTAAGGGGTACAAAATTATAGCTATATAGGAGGAATAAGTTCTAGTGTTCTATAGTACTAGAGATTGACTACAGTTAACATTAATATAGTCTATATTTTCAGATAGCTAGAAGAGAGGATATTGAATGTTCTCAAAACAAAGAAATGATAAATGTTTGAGATAATGGATATACTAATTACCCTGATCTGATCACCATAAATTGTATGTATTGAAACATTGCCATAATCCTCATAAATATGTATAATTATTATGTTCAACTAAAAAATTAAAAAGTTAAAAAGAAGAATAAAACGTGAGACATGAGGACTGGGCTATGGGTCTATGCTCTCCTGTTTTCTACATGTGTGTTGAAGGTCAGAGGGCAG